ATACTACAAAGCTATAGTAACAAAAAATGGCACGGTATTGGCACCAAAATAGACACGTAGACCAATGGTACAGAATAGGAGACMCACAGACAAACCCATGTAAATACAGTTATCTCACACTAGACAAAGGTGCCAAAAACATACATTAAAGAGAAGATAGCCTCTTGAACAAATGTTGCTGGGAGAACTGGGAGTCCATATGCAGCATAATGAAATTAAACCCCTATCTCTCACCATGTACAAGACTCAACTCAAAGTGGATCAAGGACCTAGGAATTAGATCAGAGACCCTGTGCCTAATAGAGGAAAAAGTAGGCCCAAATCTTCATCATGTCAGATTAGACCCCAACTTTCTTAACAAGTGTAAGGTATAAAATCAAGAATTAATAAACGGGATGGACTCAAACTAAAAAGCTTCTTCTCAGGAAATGAAACAATCAATGGTGTTAAGTTTTTTGAGTTCTTTGTATAACCTGGAGATTAATGCTGTAGCTGAGGTGCAGGCRGTAAAGATTTTCTCCCATTCTTTAGTCTCTCTGTTGACATATTTTTAAAATTTTAATTTGTTCTGTTCATATTCTTGATTCTTTCCTTGGCAGTAAAGAAGATTTTTAGTTTGATACCATCCCATTTATTGATTCTTGATTTTACTGCTCGTACTTTAGGAGTTTTATCCAGGAAGTTAGTTCCTACACTGACATGATGGAGAATTGAGCCTACTTTTTCTTCTAGTAATTACAGGGTCTCTGGTCTCATGCTAAGGAGCTGAGTTTTGTGCATTCTCTTACATGTGGGTCTCCAGTTTTCCTTTCACTATTTGTTGAAGAGGCTATCTTTTCTCCAATGGCTCTTTGTCGAAGTATGACATAAAGTATTTGTCTTCTATTCTGTTCCATTGCTCTTCATGTCTGTGCCAATACCATGCTGTTTTTGTTACAATAACTTTGTCATATAATTTAAGGTGTGGTATTGTGATTCTTCCTGCATAACTTTTCTTACTAAGGATTGCTTTGACTATTCTAGGCCTCTTATTTTTCCAAATGAATTTCATGATTGCTTTTTCTCTTTCTACAAAGAACGCCTTTAGAATTTTAATAGGAAATGCATTAAATCTATATAGTGCTTTTGGTAATATGGACATTTTGACAATATTAATTCTGCCTTCCAAGAACATGGGAGATCTTTCCATTTTCTGAGTCTTCCCCAATTTCTTTCATTAGAGTTATGTAGTTTTTATATAGAGGTCTTTTCCTCTTTTGTTAGATTGATTCCCAAATATTTTTTTTTTTTGAGGCTATTGTAAAGGGGATAGTTTTCCTGAGTTCTCTTTCAGCTGTGTCATAGGAATGCAATTGATTTACTGGTGTTTATTTTATACCCTAATATTTTGCTGAATTTGTTTATGAATTCTAGAAGCTTTCTGATAGAGTTGAGTCTTCTCAGTAGAGAATCATGTTGTCAGCAAATAGGGATAGTTTGAGCTCTTCTTTTCCTATTTGTATCCCTTTAATTTCTGCCTTTTGTCTAATTGCTCTGGCTAGGGTTTCAAGGCCCATGTTTAATAGGAGTGTCCTACCTAATTTTCAATTTGATGTACTTGTTTTTCATAATTTCATTAAGGCATTCCCCTCAACCTGGTAATTTTCAGGAAACCATTATATATGTATGAATCAATATATGTAAAGGTGAACTTCTTTTCAAGGCGTGCCAAAATGTTGCAACATATAGTTTCAAGATATTATGAAATGGTGTGAAACACACCTTAACAATTTTATATTTTCTCTTCAGGCTTTATCTTACTATCACAGGAAAAGAAATGTTAATAATAATTTATGAAATGTTAGTGAACATGCTTACATGATAGGAAAGTAATGAACGTTGTCCTTATTTAAAAAAAATGGACCATATCTTGGCATAAAAAGACTTCATAAGCAACCTCAAGATGCTGAGAGATGTGGGCAGAGTGCTTTGTTCAGATGTATGGTTAAGAGGTAGGGAGGTGGGCTGCCTTGTATGTGTGAGGCACTGGGTTCAATCCTCAGCACCAATAAAAATAAGTAAATAAAGATGTTGTGTCCATTTACAACCAAAACAAAAAAAAAGAGGTAGGGAGACTGAGATCAGGGAAGAGGTCTGGGCCAGACTGACTTGGAATAGAATTGCCACGGACGAGTTTGACTGGGGTGATGGATGTACCACATTGGGGTCTGTATGCTGATCTAACAGCATATGGCTCCCCCACTTTTCCTCTTTATTTTTGGCAGTAAAATTTTAAAAAAATCAATAAAAAGATAATACTGTTGCCTGCATCTCCAAGTGGGCATCAGATATACACAAGGCAGACACAAATACCCAATAAACACGTTTTAAGGACATTAAATGAGGCTGGAGGTGTATCTTGGTGGTGGAGCATATRCTCAGCATTCAAGACGTTCTGAACTCAATTCTCAGCACCTCCTAAAAAGAAACTGAATGGTCAAAGAAACGCTAAWTAAACAAGAGAGTACAGTAAGATGAAGGAAAAAGTTATTCTTACATACTACTTTCAGGAATGAAAATTGGCAAAATCATTTCTGAGGAATATTTTGGCAATATAAATTAAAAGCTTTTAAAGGATACAGGCCTTTATTCACAGGAAATAACTGGACAGGTGTGCAAATATATATATACAGAGCATGTTTACACCACTTTGTCCTAACAACAAAAATGGAAAACTTCATTTGAAAATAGAGAATTGATTAAATGAATTGTCTCATTCAATGGATAGAAAACTAGTAGCTGTTAAAATTATCTAAATTCCAATCAACTGACATGGAAATGTGTTTATATCATAACTGTAAGTAAAAAAAACACACCTGTGTTGTGTGTGAGTAAACTCATGTCTCCCTGAGAAGCCTGGAAGGACATACACTAATATAGAATTGTAATGAGGTGTTTTCCTGAGTAATCTCTATGAGTAAGCTTTACCTCTTTACTTTTTTCCATATTATAAAATTGTCTGTAATAACCATACTCTACTTTTGTGTGTGTGCGTTCAGGCCTCAGGTGTAGAGAATGAACGTGTGTGTTCATAGCATACTATCAGTGTCAGTTTCTATAAGAATCCTCTCATTTTAATTAACTTTGTTTCATTTTAAACTGCTATTTATACATAAATTACTTTAAAAACCAGAAGTCTATAAGAATGGCAGTAGCATCTGATTCTTGGCCATACCACCATGCAGGGATTAATGGTAAATTGTTSAACTTCTTACCTGGTGTGAGGGTCACAGATACATGTATTAGTTTGTCTTTGGAATACATGGTTTATAACTCCCAGCGGGATTCCAACCACTGAGCTTTAGGGCTTAACACAGTCTATCACCAAGAGTGGTTTTGAAGGGTGGGGACCTATCAAATGAAACCATTGTCTTGGTGTGAATCTGTTTTCTTTGGTACCCTAATGACATACCAAAACGATGTGTGGCTTAAACAGTAGAAATTGTCTCAAAATTTTGGAAGTTGTAAGTCCAAGATCAAGGTGTAAGCAAGGTTGGTATTCTCTCATGGGTGTAAGCGGGAATGTTTCATGCCTCTCTGTCCGCATCTAGTAGCTTCAGATGTTCCTTGGTTTGTAGATGGCCATTTTGACCCTGTGTCTTCACATGATCTTCCCCGTGTACATGTGTCTCTATGCCTAAATTTCTCCTTGTTATAAAGACACTAGTTACTGTGAATTAGGGCCCATATAGAGACCTCACTTTAACTCAATTACTTCTATAAAGATCTTACTTCCATAAAATCTCTCATCATCATCGTGATATGGTGGAAAGAACAAGGGCTTTGCATTATACTTGGACTTAAATTTTGTCTTTACCACTTCCTGGTGGTATGACCTTGGGAATGTCATTTAACTATTCATGATTTGTTTACTCATCTGTATATTGGAATGTAATGCTGCTGAGAGGASTAGAGACACTGGAGAATGACCTGGGAGAAGGATACAGTTTGGGTTTTTGCTTTTCCAGGTTAGCATCTGTGAACAGATAAATCTTGGTGAATCTGATGACAGCAAGGATTTAATCATTAAATTGGTGTTTGTTCCAAAATTCCTATATGTATTCTGTTGTTGGGCTGGCCACAATTTACAGGTTACTTTTAGGTAAAGCCTATATAAAACCATTTAAATGCATTCCAACCAGCACATGATAGTTCCCTGATCAACTCTGGGTGAGGATCCCATGCTGGGGGAAAAGAGGTGCAACTCTGTAGATATGAAGACCAGCAGTGTCTTCTACTCCTGAATCTTCATAATCTCAAGCTTTTGCATCACCCTGATAATTTCTGAGAGTGTCATATTCTGACCAGAAGATTAAGCAAGTTTCCTTCATTATTGGTAATAAAAATTTGACTCACATTTAATGYAGTGTTAAGGGCTGCAAATGCTAATAAGGGCTGACAGAAGTGAAGCCTTGGCCACTGAGGCAGGGAGCTCAAAGAGGGGAAACCAGAGGAGGGAGGAAGGAGCTGGTTGTATAGGTGGAAGTTGGAGCTTGGGAGAAACAGGTAGCAACCTCTCCTTTGAATGGGGACACCCTGGGCTACTTCCTCTTCTTCCAAAACAATTAAATTGAATGTGGACTTTAATTACATTAGCAGGGCAATTTAGAAAATGTCAGCAATCTGAAAGTACTTTTGTCCGGCATGGCAATTTTTTGAAATCATGAAGAATCAAGTCTAAACCAGGTTCAGTCTGATTTCTTTCCCGGCCTGCGCTATTTTGAATGGCTGCCTTAGTGTATCAGTGTTCTAATAATGTAGGGAGGAAATTTTGTGGAAAGTCATTTAAAACAAGCGTCTATCTTGAACAACACCAGAGACAAGTATTTTGGTTCTTTTAAACACCTAAGAGTTTATAAGATTATATCTGTTGCATTTGTATTTGTGAACGTCTGAAGGTTAAAAAAAAAAAAAACAAAACTGATATGGACACAAATAAAAGATGGCCAAACCAAGCTAGGAAATCCAAAGATTAGTGCCTTTCGGTGTAAAAGAGTATATACACACTCCCTTTATAGCTATTCATCAACAGCCATTATTTTAAGTTGGTACAAAATACAATTTTTAGCTGGTGGCTCTCTACTAATTACAAAGTAGCCAGCACAGCAAACTTTGGTTTTAATGCCTGGAGAGCACACCCAGCAATATTTAGCCAGGCAGAAGGGGCAGACTGATTAAAAAAAGAAAGCCATAATAGTTTCGATTGTTAAGGCCAACTGGGCAAATTAAAAATCTGGACACTGAGGGTTAGGAAAGACAGAAACAAGGCAGTGAGCTGGACAAGGATACGGTAATAGCACAGAGGATTAATTTAAGGGGCATTCCGATGGAGAAGGCTGGCTGCGCCTAGAAAGGTGGGGAGGGGCTCGCAGGAGATGGAAAAGCACGGGAGAGCGTGCACAGCTTAAAAAAGTTTTTCTGATGGCTCCGTCCGTAATTTCGGAAGGTCGGGGCCGGGTGCTGGCGTGATCTGAGCACGGCGGCGGCCGCAGGGGCATCCCGGATCCGGGCGCAGCGTCCGGAATTCCTGAGATGTCTGAAACGCGGAGGCGGCCTCCTCCCCGCCCCCACCGCGGCCTCCGTGGGCATTTTCCGGCGAGGGGGGCACGCGAGCCCTTCCAAGAACAGTTTAAACGCGCGGACGACCGCGGCCGCGCGCCCCCCAGGAGAAAGGCGAGCGCCGCGCCGGAAAGCGGTGAGAACCCCCGACCCTGAGCGTGGGGTGGGCTTCCGGGGTCTTCGCCCGCGGCCGCAGCCCCGGCCCCTCCCCCGCCCGGCAGCCGCGCGCCCCTCCCCCCGGCGCGGGCGGGGCTGCGGGCGCGCGACGCGGAAGCGCGGGGCTCGGGGGCGGCGGCGCGGGAGGCCGCGCGCGCGCTCCCCGGGCCGCAGTCGGCGCGGGCGCGGCGGACGCGGGGCGGGGCGGCCGGGAGGCGGCGGGCGCTCGCGCGCAGACCAGCCGCCGCCTCGCCCCCCGTCCCCTTCCCCTTCCCTCCCTCGGCCGTCCGTCCCCCTCCTCTGCCCTCCCCCGAGCGAATCACGCGCCCTCCTCTGACACTCGTAGCGGGCCCGAGCTCCGAATTTATCCTTCACGTGACCTGAGGGGGTTGGGTGGTTGGCTGGGGACGGAGGGGAGAAGGAAAGGAGGGAACGGAATCTGCCGTTACCCGAGCAACAGGCCCCGCCCGCCGGCTTGGGGCCGGGGGGCGGGAGGAGGACGTCAGCACGTCAGCCGGGGTTTTGCGTTTTGATTGACAGTTGCTATAGCGACCGGGTCGGTCGGTCGCCATTTTGTTGGTTGGTTTTTTTTTAAACCCTTTCGCTTCCCGCCCGAATAATAATAAAAAGCCCCATTGGAGTGAGGCGGGGGTGGCGGCGGCAACCGCGGCGGGGGGATCCGGGGAGACTGCTGCCGTCGTTGCTGCCGATCGCGGCCCAGGTCGGGCTGAGGGAGCGGACACCCCGAGCGGGGGGTGCGGGCGCCGCYGCCGCCGCCGCTTCTGCTGCTGCTGTTCCTGCTGCTGCTGTTGGTGCCGCTGCCGCCGCCGGCGAGCGGGCGGGACCGGTGTGAGTGTGCGAGTGTGTGTGAGTGAGCGTGTGCGAGGGCGAGTGTGCGCGTGTGTGTGAGTGTGTGCGCGAGTGTCTGTCTGTCTGTGCAGGGACTCGGGGGCGGGCGGTTCGGGCTCTCCTGGCGGAGGAGCCGCCGCCGCCGCCGCCGCCGCCGCCGCTCGGGCCCCGGCGCTTCTCGCTGCGCAGGTTTGGAGCGCGCGCCATTTTGTGAGATTTACAAAATCCTCCTCGGGAAGAAGCCGCCAGGAGCGGCCGCCACTCGGCGCCCGGCCTCGTCGCCGCCGCCCTCAGCGCTGGGCCGGGCCGCGCGGCCCCGCCGCCGGGACTCGGGGCCCGGGGACTGCGGTATTTGCCGGGGAGGGGCTGTCGCCTCCCCGGCCCCGGGCGCCTCTGGAGCCGCGAGCCGGAGAGACACGGAGCGGGCTGCGGCGCGGCCAGAAGCCGGGAACGCCGGGGGCGGAGAGAGCGGCCGGGGCGGCGCTGGCTGCGGAGGCCGCGGCGGAGCCAGGCGCGGGAGCCCGAGGCTGAGACTCACCGGAGGGAGCGGCGCGAGCGCCCCGCCATCATCCCGGTGAGTGTCCGGCCCGGCCGAGACCCCGCCCGGCCGGCGTCGGCCCCCGGCGGCCTGCAGCCGGGCCCGCGCCGAGCCGGGCCGGGCGGAGGGAGGGACCTGCCATTTTAGGAGGAGGCGCCGCCGGCCCGGGGCCGGCCGCCGGGGGAGGGAGCCCGCAGGCCGGGTCCCGGAGGAGAGGCGGGTGCGAGCGCAGGGAAAGTTGCGGAGGGCGGGAGCGGGGGCCGCGGCCTCCCGGGAGCCGGGGCCTGGGGGCCGGAGAAAGCGCCAGACCTTCACTGGTCGCCCGGGCGGAGGGAGGAGGTTGTCTTCCTCCTCCTCCTCTTCCTCCTCATCCTCTTCCCCCAGCTCCTCCCTCGTCCCTCCTCTCGGTCCCCACCAGTGTGGGAACCGCCGGGGTTCTTCGCAAGGACAATGCACGGGTTAAGAAAGATGGGGCTGGCTGCCGGCAGGCGAGGACGCAGGGCCGGGCTGGGCGCCCGCGAAGGTCGGCTGCTCGGCGGCCCTCGGGGTCCGCGCCGGAGCGAGGGGACGCGGCGTGCTCGGAAGTTGGGCCGGCGGTGCGAGCCTTCCCGGCCCCGGAGGTGCAGCGCTGACCTGCTTAGAGGCCGGGGGAGCTGGAGGCCGCGAGGGGAGAATTAGGATTGATACCTGTGCATTGCAACAAACTTCACGAGTCTATTTATAGGCACAGTCCCACTCCGGCTTCGGAGCCACCAGAGCTGCTGCATATCTCAGCACTTGGCCAAGGCCCCTCCCTAGCCTGAAATAGTTAAAATGGCAAAATTAGTGAGTCAGTGACTTAAACTACTTGTGTGTGCCCTTTCGCCCAATCCTAGATAACCCGAATTCTGTAAGATAGGTGCAGCATTTGAATGCCAGCACCATTTGGTTCTTGTTTTCTGTCCAAATTGTCCGAAAATACCTTATAACATTGTTTTCACACTCAACTTTAAAGATTAGTGGTAGGCACTCTTTTCAGACACACATCATAATCCGCTTAACCTACCAGTTGGAACTGTTACCCATTTTACAGATATGGAGACTGAGCTTAGAGACGGGCAGTGACTCATCCAAGGTCATATAGCTGGGACTCGTGAGAGCAAGGAGTCTGTAGGCATCCTGGGCTCCTGATAATAGGTTATAACTCATTATAAATAACCTGCAAATTTTGGAGCGATTTGTGTGTGATGACTCAGGGTTCTAACCTAGAGATTGTTTCCACGTATAGTTTTTAGTGTGAAGTTAACTTTGGTTTGCAGAAATGGAAAGGTTGTAGTGAGTTCTCTTACTGAAACTTGTCAGGCGCCCCCAGCCCCGGGGAGGGGAAAAAAAAAAAACACCTATGTTGTCAGTTTTTGAGAGGAAGGACTCAAAAAATATTACCTGGTGCATTTTATTCTTCACATTTAATTATAATTCTAGTCATCCTTTGAGTATCATAAGAAAATTTCATGTGAAATTGTTTTTAGTCTTCAAATACTTAATTTCCTCCTGTGGTCCTTTATATCTTACTTGAGAATGTTAGGAATGAAAATATRTAGTATTTTGATTTTGGGGTGTTTTAATAATTCAGTTTTTAGCTTTTGTTTTCTTAAATTTCTCATATCTTATTCTCTTATTTGAGCTTTAGGGTTATACATAGCAGTTGGACTCATTTATTCTTTAAGAAATAATTTTCAGATTAAATATGAGACTACAACTAAAATTTCATGCTAAGTTTCAAACAAGCATTGGTTAAGAAAAAGTTTACTTATAGTTAAGATTTTTCATGTACACTTCAAGGACCCCACTTTTAGAGGATTTGTTTGGCATAGGCATATRTCCCAATTTGTTTAGACTTCAAACCTTATCAGAAAGTTAGGGACAAGTGTTAGTGTCTATACCAAGTTCTCTCCTAAAACTGGCTATAAAGAGCACATACTTACCTCAGAGAGGTAAGAAATTATTCTAGGAAGAAGGATCATTATGCCTGGTTAAGGTGAAGGCTTACTCCTTTTTTGCTGTGTGGGTATTTAAGAGGGATTTCAGATTTGAAGGAATATACTTAAAAGGAATGATAATTTTTGGTAGGGTCAAGAATGAACTGAAGGATCTAGGGAGGTGTTTTTTATTTTTTGGAATTTGAAGTTTAGGTATAAGATTATTGTTGTTTTGTTTTTGCTGTGTTGGGGATTGAACCCACCACTGAGTGCATCTCTAGCCCTAGTTATGAGATTATTTAGTAAGCATTTTAAAGACATCTTGGTGGGACCTATTAGAAAATTAATATAGACAATTACTGTGTGTTAGGAATTAAAAAGTTTAGTCCAGTTTGTAGAGGTCCTGACATTCAGGCAGATGAAGATATTCCATATTGGTATAGTGTCTTACTTGGGAATGTGGATAATAAAAATGGCCCTAGATTAGAGAATTTTTTTTCCCTTTGCAGTATTGTCTGAGGTCTGTTACTTAGTTCTGTTTATGGAGAGATATTGTATTTATGACTTAGCGAAATAGGGGTGGAGAGTGGTAAGCGAAACAACCTATTTAGAGACCTTAGGTTTTTATAAAAGTGGTGTGAATACTTGTCTACAAAAGCAAAATTCAAGATAGCTTGTTACAGATATAATATACCATTAACTTGGCATATGTTTTATAACTCTACAGACTAAATGTTAATTTGCATTTAATATTGAATATTACTTAAAAAACTTGGAAATTAGGCTGCCCAGAGTTGTTTTTATGTGCATGTTTATGGTTGAAAGGTATCTAGTTATTGGAAGGAAATTTGGATAGCAGTAACTAATCATGAGACAGAAGGAATGATCTTGTGCGTGACATTAAAAACAAAACTATAAGAAGATGAAGATTAATTTGTGAAATTTTTGGTATTTGTGATCAGGTGTGTGTCAGTTTGACTTTGCTTTGGCTATAGTTTTCCTCTTACTGCCAAGAGAGTTTTCATATTATATGTGTGCTGCGCCCCGAGCACCTACACACACCCCCGCCCCTACCCAAGCAATTTTTCTTTTCTCCTACCCCAAGAATAAACTTAACTGTCCAAACCCAGCAAAAACCAAGAACTTCCAGAAAGTCTTTATCAAGTTCTTGATTTCCCAGATTTTATTAGTTTTATAATTTTGTGGTATTCCTGAGCAGTAATTTAAACTGTGAGCTAAGACTGTTTTTACTTTCTGTTGAGGAGTGTTTTGGTGGTTTTACTATTGTCTGTTTTCAATTAAAAGTAAAGATATTACTTGAAACTATCAGACATGAATCTTGACACCACACATTTTGCCCTGTCAAAGTTAATTGTGCAACTGGTATAATAGCATTTTATGTATATGGAATGGTTAGGTCTTTAGAAGGACTTCTGACTGTGGGTTATCTTGACCATCAGGCACTTTTTTGAGGCTAGAGAATTTTAGATTAAAAACTTGGGGGGCTTAAATTTTTTGTTTGATTGCTTGGGAAGAAATCAAATTCTTTTAAGTTGCCTAAAATCTCACCTCTATTGCTCCTAATTGAAGAAATGTTTCGAAATCTTGCCTCATGTCAACTCTATAATGTTAAGC